AAGGGGGTAACAAAGAAATAGGGGTTGGTCCAAAAAGTAGGAAAAAAATATTTTTTTTATGGTCTCCTAAGGGGTAACTCGTAAAAGTAGAACCCTTTGGGCAAAAATTTTATCCGTTCGACTCTATCTTGCACCGTTTGGGTGCTAGAGTGCTTTTTTCGACGAAAATACGGAGAAAATGACCACGTTGCACATAAAGACGTACTAGGAGGCTTCTAATCGTAAAATGGAAGAGGAAGTACCCCCTCAAAACAACACATTCTGAATCAGGAACTACCCTCGGATTTGCCGTATCTTTCACTGTTTCGGCCGTAGAGGTGGATATATTGAAAACAATGGCAAAAAGTCAAGTTTAAAGACTGTTTGACAAACAATAATATACAATCTGCGCGTGATCTTTTTTTAAATTCTTAAGCAAAGCAGAAGGGTGGGGTGTAGTCACGGTGTTGCCCCGTTACAGTCTTTTGTCATGTCCAAGGAGCAAATTTTTAGGGCCGCAGGCCCCCCACCGGACGCGTTAGTTTACTCAAATATGCAAAGTGATTTACCGGTCACACTACTTATTTGATTATGCACTTCGGTAAATCGCGAGACTGAAATGGTCGGGCCAAAGGCCCGACCATCGCCGCCGGCAGGCCAAGCAGGCCCGGCCCCTGCCGAACGGAGTTGCCGGCGCAGCGAAGTGGAGCTGGCAACTCTGTTTGGCGGAAGGGCGGGCCTGCTTGTTAGTATTATCTTTACTGAAGCATTTATTTTTTTTATTACATCAGGTCAGTGCTGGAAGTAAACGTAAAGGACTTCTGAAGTCTTCACGCAATGTTTGAAAGTATGAGATGAATGTCGTAGTCCTTTTGGTCCTCAACGTTAACTTATATAATGAAGACTCTACTTGCATTATTGCATCTGAGTTAAAATGATATGTTTAGGTTAAAACATATATATGATTGTTTGTAATTAAGTACTGTTCAAAATCTGTACTCAAAATTAAGTACTAAAGTACTGAAGCACTTCTTTCCTATTCATACCACAGGGCATATTGCTTGAACTAAAAGCAAAACTACTCTGAAGAAATGCCGTTATGATTGGGAAATAGTTGTACGTCGCAGTTACTTTAGTGCTCACCGCTTCAATGTTAGCATAAAGACTGCAGTAATAAAACTTAATTGTCATGGTAAATAAGTGTGTTGTCATGAAAGAAAATAAATCTGTTGTTTAGTTGACTGCTTTACTTTTGTCTCATTTCTAACCACCAATACCATCATTGGCCTGCACACCAGTTTAACCAAACATTTGCAAACTCACCTACAGATGTCTCGTAAACGTTTACAAAGAAGTCTTGTTAAAATACCAAACATTTAATGTAAAATTACCAGACTTTTAATGTCTCAAATTTACCATACTTTACTTGTAAAAATTTTACTAGTGTTTACTTGTGTTAACAACATAATCCTTGTAATTTTTTTTTTACCAAATATTGTAAAATTACGAGTTGTTGGCTGAGCGATTAGCGAAGCTCATAACTCCACTGACCGGAAAAGTTCCATTCTGTTTGTTTGTCTGTCTGTTTGTCCGTCCGATAACTCGAGAAAGAATTGAGAGAGCGATTTGGGAATTTCAGTGTCGTTTTGTGTCATAAAAAGACAGATTGAATTCGAAGATGAGCATTCCAGCTCAAAAATTGACTTTAAAAAAATCAATAACCACATGTAATAAAATGTAATACTTTTTATAATATTTTTCTATGGTCTCCTTAAGGGTAACTCGTGAAAGTAGATTCCCTGCGGGTAACTCGTGAAAGTAGATTCCCTGCGGTCGAAAATTTTGTCCGTTTTGCTCTATCTTGTACCGTTTGTGTGCTAGGGGGCATTTTTTGCCAAAATTGAGGTGTAAATGGCCAAATGGTCAAAAGGTAAGGCTCCACTGAAAAAAACGCATAATTTCGTCAAAGAATCAAAAATTATTTTTTGACGGAAAAATCATCTTTGGACCTTCCTCTATACGAGGCTGGTCCGTTTTTACCCATGAAAATTTTTTAAGCAGGTCTACGGAGTAGATTTCGAAAGGTCTGCATTTCCCTAGTTTGTCCATTTTCAGTAAAATTCCCCTTAATCTACCTGGAAATTTCTCTCGCGTCCGCGTACCAGTCTTCATGCTTCCCATAATCATGCCTCTCTGAGCCTGTTCCATCTGTTGGTGGCCGGAGGTACTGCGTGCACGAGGGAGCTGGGAGCTGGCGGGGAGATAGAGGGGTTGAGCCCCCTCCCAGCCACCCCGCCTCTCCCTCTCCCTCAGGCGGCAGGCAGCAGGCACGGCAAGGCACGCAATGGCAGTGTTATTGTTTGCGGTTCGGTTGGGCTAGCTACTCGTGTAATTTTTTTCGCGACAATGCATGCAATACATAGCAAATATCGGAAGCCCAGATCGCGCTCGAGAGGAGGTCGAAGCAGGTCGCTAGACTCAGCTCGGGCATAGAAAGCCGAAAATGACACAGCGAAGAAATCTGTCCCGGATGCATCCACCAACGGGGACCCTAACCTCACTCCGTCCACCCCAACAACATACAAGTCTGCTAAGAAACTGTACAACTTCAAGGGACCAATTGGCGAAGAACTCTCAGATGAAGAATATTATTTAGTAAATTCGACTTTTCTCGGGGACTTAGTATCAGTCATGTCTTGTCCAGACTATGGCACCAAACAAAATGTGAAAAGTGTGACTGAGAAGAAGGGATTTTGCCAAAGATTCCTAGTTCAGTGCATAGTGTGTGGAAATACTATTTGTGACTCATATTCAAGCAAGAGAGTGTCTGCAACTGGGTCTTCCAGCAGGCTACCCTTTAAAGTCAACAAAAGAATGACCACGGCTTTTCTTGACATTGGTGCTGGTCATACAGGGTGGGTGATCCGCGCCGTGGTTTTCTGCTTATACTGTACCGCATTCATGCGTGCGGACGGGTTGCATACTCGCACGGGGCCGTAAGGCACCATGGCGAGCGACGATAGGCAAGCCCACCCGCACGCATGAATCCGGTACAGCATAAGCAGAAAAAAACCACGGCGCGGATCGCCCACCCTGTAGTGCCATGTCAAGATTGTGTTCGGCAATGAGCATAAAATGGTTTAGAAAGTTCTGCTTTTTAGCCCGCCCTTCTGCTTTGAAAAAGCTATTCAGCGGGCTTATGCAAACGACCTCGTGTGTGTCTGTCTGTGTGTCTGTGTGTCTGTGTGTCTGTGTGTCTGTCTGTCTGTTCCACTAGAAGGAGATGTGCTAGAGACTTGAAATTTTCAGGGTATCTTAAGGTCCACTCCTAGAGAACGAAACGCCTACGGCAAATCCTGGCAACCACCCCTAAAGGGCTAAGAGGGGGTATCAAAAAAAATAAGGTAGGTCAAAGAAGTAAAAAAATAATATTTTTTTATGATCTCCTAAGGGGTAACTCGTGAAAGTAGAGCCCTGTGGGCGAAAATTTCGTCCGTTTTGCTCTATCTTCTACCGTTTGTTCGCTAGAGGGAGTTTCTCTCACAAAAGTGGCCCAAAAATAAATTTATTAATTCCCGTAAATATTGAATGGTCTCCTAAGAGGTAACTTGTCAAAGTAGAGCCCTCTGGGGTCCGTTTGGTCCGTTTGGTCCGTTTGGCTCTATCTCTAACCGTTTAGGCGCTAAAGGGTCTTGTTTGACGAAAATAAGTTAAAAATTGCTGTA